ACAACCTCACAGACAGACACACAGCAGGAGATCTGATGAAGCTGAGCCAAATGCATGTTAAAAATATTGATTGATTTGGCTGCAGGGTGTACGTCTGAGAGTTTGGCTGAAGATTATCGTACTTACAGGTTCACCTCCAAAAGAAAAAAAAAGTTATGTCTGTATTTTGACATGTATTGACATATGGTCAGAATATGGTGGTTCTGTTTGCAAAGCACATCAAACATCTGTTGCATGTATTAAATTCAGACGTGGTTCACTCTGTTTTATACCATAGTGTATCGTTAAGTTTGCTGAACATTTAAAATGGTATAGAATTATTTTTTTACCCCTATGTGACCCAGACAGGCCTTCATAGATTATGCATTATAACAGCTTAAGATGTCTCATCTGTACCTACCTATCACATCCCTCCTCTTAAAAATTCCCAAAATAGACAGCAAGAGGCAGCACAGTCATCTGTCACTGACTGGAAATGACATCAATAACACCCCTGTGAGACAAACCTGTGATGCGGGGTTTTATAAATAACAATGACTTGATTTGTTGGTACACTTCTGCACTGCCTGGAGGGAGCAGTGTGTTTTTATATGGCATACAAACCAGACACTCAACTGTGGAGCATCAAGTGCTGATGCTGACTTTTTGTACAGAATTTATTTAAAATGTTTCATGTATGCATCTGGATTGGGTTTGAGACGATAGCCATTTTAACCAATTCACTAAAGCTGCAGTATATGTAACTTTTTAAAAAAATATCTCGTTTACATGTTTGAATTTTAATTTGCATCATTTGAACATCATTTTGAAGATGCAGGTTGAACAAATACATGCCAGAATTTGAACTCCAGACCTTCTTGCTGTACAGCGGTGGTGCTATATTCTCTCCTGATGATGCTGTATATTTTGTGAAGTGAACCAGTCTACCCTCCATGTAGGGATGTTGTTCTCAAACATGCAACCCACCAATGTCTATTATGAAAAATGCGGTTTGAAATGAGACCTGTTTTGTTTTGTGAGTGTTACGATTCAGAGAAAAGCTGCAGAATATGTGCAGTAATGGAAACTGAAGAAAAATGAGCCAACAGGAAAGCAATCTATTTTTTTTTTACTCTTCAGGAAGTGCTGTGTGTCATTCCTGTGATTCACTGATCCTGTATGTGACAGCTGGAAGAACTCCACACAAATCCTAATGTATCAAAGTAATGGTTTTATATTGTTCCTCATACATCATGGCAGAAGAAACAACTCTGTGCTGCAGCATTACTCATAATGATGATTGTGTGATGCGATTGGCCTCACTGGATACAAATAGGCATGTAAACAAAGCCCACCATACCATCAGCGTTCTCTTTCCCCTTTTGATTCTTCACTACCATTATTTTTCTGTCTTTGTCTTTCAGAGGTCTTCTTTACATCCTTATAGATTTCCTTCCATGTCAAAATGACTCCTAAATGTTTGATTTCACTCTTCATCTGAACATTCACTCATCCATCCTTAAAACTCCACCTTAAGTCATGTGAATCACCCTCCTTTCTTCATCATCACTCAATAAAGCGATTACATCATTAGAACCAGATTCACTTTCAAATTTGCTGATTTTTAACGACCACAACTCTGTCGCAAAAAACAGTCTTCTGCTCTCATGTTTAAAGTCACTATCAGAATACCATTAAGTGCAGCGCTGTCGTTCTCATCTTCATCAGTCAGCTTCCTGCTTCGTCCATCCATACAGTCAGTGCCTCTTTCATCATGTTGAAGTACAGAGGTTGAAAGCTAATTAATGAGGCTCAAACTTAAGGGTTCTGCCATGATTATCATGTCATGCGACCACCAGCCTGTGGTTTCACATTAGAGGAAGCGAATATTACAGCGTAGAGCTTTTCTCATCTCCATCTACTCATCCTCTGCGCCTCATGGTCTTATGTCACCTCCATCTGTCCCTCCTGACTTGTCTTCTCTCATTAGCCCTGTGCATATTTATTCCACTCCATCCATTAGTTAGCATGAAAAGGCTAAATTTGGACCACTCTACAGCAACATATATCAGTCTTAGAAGGGTCTGAAGATGTTGCCTTAAAAATTAATGGCAGTGCTGGAATGTTTGTTTGGTTGGTTGTTTTTAATAAACAGGAAAATGAAAATGTCCAGCAAACGACAAAATGATTCTGAAGCACATGAATGATGCAAACTTCAAAACATGAAAACACAAAACGTAAGCAAAATTAAGGTCAGTGTTTATGATTTAGACATAAGAAAGATGGGCAGGGCAGAGCAGTTTCTGATTGAAAACCTCAGCTGAACAAGTTTGAACACAAGTTATCTGGGGCTGTTTCAGGATCTGAACGACTTGCTGTACCATAGAGTCTTGAAGGAGACTGTGTCACATTAAACTTTATTACTTTTGGATTGTACAGCAAAATAATTATCTAAATCACATCAGCAACCTCTGAATATCTTTCATGCAGCATAAAGCAAAAAACTGCATAAAAGTTGTGGAGTGACCTCCTGAGACAACCACCTTCAGTCCAGGATGTTTGGATTGTCAAAGGGGAAAAGGAAAAAGAAAAGCAACAAGCCCAAAAACAATCTATACATGCAAAGCAAACAAAAAGGCAACAACGTTGCAGAAGTGTATAACCCAGAGCTGTGGCCAGAGGGTGCGGTGGTGCGCCGCTACTATGAGCCACGGAATAAACCTACAACGTCTGAAGGACCTGGGGTGAGCACCTCTAGTGATTCCAGAAGGATCGATGGGATGGCTGCAGTTACTTTCTCATAGACCAATTCATGCGTGTTATTTCTTACAATTGCCGGGGACTGCGTGTCGGTAATACAGCTGGAGATAAAGCACGACGTCTGGTTGTGGATAAACTGTTGCAAGAATGTGACGTTCTTTGTTTACAAGAAACTTTTTTATCAAAACAAGACTTGGGAAGTTTGAACTGTATTAATGATTGTTTCTGTGGAGCTGGTGAATCTACTGTGGATCTTTCTATGGGTATAGTGAGGGGTCGAATCGCAGGAGGAGTAGCCATTCTATGGCACAAAAAGCTGGATCCAGTTTTAAATGTCATCAGAACCGGTGTTGACTGGTGTATTGCTGTTCATTTTAAAATCGAAAACAAAGAATTTATCATTATTAATGTTTATACACCATATGAGTGTCCTCAGAATGAAGACATTTATTTGAATAGACTTGCTTTCTTGAGCTCTTTTATTGATGACCATTGTTTTACCTCTGTGTATGTAGTAGGTGATATGAATGCAGATATATCTGATGAACATTCCTCATTTGCCAAACATATGCATCAGTTTTGTGATGATAATAGTTTATTATTGTCCAGTCAGCTCCTGCTACCTGCAGAAAGCTATACATATATAAGTGAAGCTTGGCATACAACGTCATGGCTTGACCATTGCATTAGCTCTGCTGATGCCCATGCTGTTGTAAAATCATTAGAAATCCTATATGAGTATTCAATGTCGGATCATGTCCCATTTTTAATGATGTTGGATATTAAAAATCTCCCAGAGTTTATACGGGGGGCAAATAGTGCTCCTACATTTAAAATTAACTGGTCCACACTTTCTAAAGATGATTTGCTCGTATATAGTATGAAAACTGATCTTCTTTTGAGTAAAATAAATCTTCCTCTTCCAGCTATTATGTGCTCAGATGTTAATTGCAGTGATATTTCTCACTGTACTGACCTCCATACTATGTATGATGGCATTGTGGATGCTTTGTACCAGAGCACAAGATCATACCTTACATACAGAAGAACTAATAGCATCAGGCCAGGCTGGAATAAACATGTGTCAGGATGCTGTGCAGAAGCTAAACAGGCATATAAAATGTGGGTACAGGCAGGTAAACCAAGACATGGGACTATCTTAGATTATAAAAAACTCACCAGTGCAAAGTTTAAATATGCCATTCGATACATCTTCAAATGTGAACAGAATATGAGAGCAGACTCCATGGCTGAAAAACTGCTTTGTAATAACACCACTGGCTTTTGGAATGATGTTAGAGCCTTAAACAGGTCTGCTGCATTACTCCCCAATACCATAGAGGGCATATCTGGGGCTCATAATATAGTTGATTTATGGAGACAGCACTATTCTGCCTTATTTAACTGTGTACAAAATGAACCCTATGGACTGGGAAACATTGCTAAGAATGATGTGGTTATAATAACCCCTAGTGAAATTCAGCAGGCTATAGTAAATTTGTGTGAGAATAAAGCAACAGGTTCTGATGGCATTCCAGCAGAACATTTGAAATATGCTAGCCAAAAAGTGTCTGTGCTGCTTGCAATGTGTTTTTTGGGTTTATGACCCATGGGCAGTTGCCTGATTCCTTACTATCTGTTACCCTTGTGCCAGTAATTAAGGACAAAACTAATAAGGTTGGCAGCCTTGATAACTACAGACCCATAGCTTTGGCTAGTGTGTTATCTAAAGTATTAGAAAAAAATTTGCTTGGTCGGCTTAATCAGTTTATTAGTACAACAGATAATCAATTTGGTTTTAAAGCCAAGCTGGGAACGGATTTCTGTATTTACGGCCTGAAAGAAGCTGTAAGAACATACTTAAGGAAAAATTCATCTGTGTTACTTGGGTTTATTGATGCCTCTAAGGCCTTTGATCGTGTTAATCACAATAAGTTATTTGACAAATTAAAAAAAAGAGGTGTTTCAGATATTATTATACGAATTTTAGTTTACTGGTACTCTAACCAGAAAATGCATGTAAAATGGGGAGATAACATCTCTGCTTCCTTTGGTGTTAGTAATGGTGTGCGGCAGGGTGGGCTTCTTTCACCTGCCTTGTTTAACTTGTATATGGATGACCTATCAAAAGAAATGAACCTCTGTAAAACCGGGTGTATGATTGGTGATACTTTGGTCAATCACTTTATGTATGCTGATGACCTGGTTGTTCTCTCACCCAGTAGTGCTGGTTTTCAGCAGTTATTGAATATCTGCTCTGATTATGGGTTGAGATTTGATGTGCAGTATAATGCTAAGAAAACTGTTGTACTAGTTTGTAGAACTAAAGCTGACAAACAACTCTGTTTCCCTGATTTTTTTTCTATCAGGGCAAAAGTTAGATGTTTGTTCCAAAACTAAGTATCTGGGTCACTACATCACAGACCAGCTCTCTGATGATGATGACATCTATAGGCAGTGTCGCATGTTATACGCCCAGGCAAACGTTTTGGGGAGGAAATTTCATATGTGCTCTGATGAGGTAAAAATAAGCCTGTTTAAAGCTTACTGTACATCCTTGTATACAGCTCCTTTGTGGTGCAAATTTTAAAAAACTAGTATGCAGAAGCTTAAGGTTGCTTATAATGACTCTTTGAGAATTTTGATCAAGAAACCCAGGTTCAGCAGTGCAAGTCAAATGTTCTGTAACGCACATGTCAGAACATTTCAGGCCCTTTTGAGAAATCTGATATACAAGTTTATGTGTCGTTTGGGTAACTCACCGAACAATCTTCTTGTAATGTTCTCACAGCCTTCTGTTAGTGCGCTAAGATACCAGTCGGCTCTTTGGAAACATTGGTATACAAGTCTTCTATAAGATTTATATTTATATTTTTTATGACTACTTATTGTATTTTATTTTTCATTTTCTCTTGGTTTTTTTTATGTCGTGTTGTTGTGTATCTTGTGGACCATGAGTCTGTTGAATAAAGTAAATTCAATAATTAACCATGAAAGAAAATCATTTTCCCCTGTACAACATGTGTTTATGCCAAATTTCCTTTCCAGTGAAACAGAACACTGGCAGTTCTGTGACCAAGAGTGGCACAGAAAGATAAATAATGAAATTAAAAATTTTATAGTGTTTATGATTATATTTGCATTTACCAATATGTAGCATCCAAAGGTGGAGCACTTTGGATGGAGTAGGTGTCAGCATATTATTCTATTCTATTCTATTCTATTCTATTCTATTCTATTCTATTCTGCTATTAGGAACCTTGTCATCATTTGACAACAAATTTCATATCTATTCAAGATTCAATTGTATTAAAGTTGTAACAAAACAGCTAAATCATGAGAAATATGTAAGAATTCAGGTCCTTTTTCACAGCAATGTGTTTAACATTAAAACTGGCCTCCATTAGGTAAAGCAACAGCTGACGGAAGCTCAATTATTAAGGGGTTGTTAATTTTGTAGCAGTCAGTGGGATGCTGGTGCAACTAATTCAAAACACAGCCAGAAGCTGAATTACCTCTTCCCATCTAAAATAACAGAAAATTTAACACAGAGAGGTTTGTGTTTGGTTTAAGTTGGAGAACATATACATGATTTATTTACGTCGTTTCTATCTTTTTTTAAATTTTGCCGCCGTTTCATGCAGATGTGAATTTATAAAGCAATGTATCCATTGCTTTACAAATGGGAAACTCTTAACAGTTTCCCATTTAGTTATGTTATAAACTGACACATCAACATTTTTCATTGGGATTTTATGTGATAAACCAATGTAAAGAAAATATAGCATAAGCATGAATTGTTTATGATGTTTGCTTAAAAATGGAGAAAGCTATGTCACAAACAACAGAATTAATAGTAGCTTCCTTAATTTTAGCATTAACAGAGCGCTTAGCTTTCCGATTATCAGCAAGGTCCATTGCTGGAGAGTTTCTGTTCTGCAACTTATAGTTGCAACCTTTCTTCAACACGGCTGAGTCAAATTAATGGCTCGTTCCCTGGCCTGCAGAGCTGCATGATGACAATGAGGGACTTCCGGTGAACTACATATAGCAAACATTGTATTGCTTTCTAAATTATGAGTTATGCAGTGTACAGACCAATAGATCAAGATAAATATAAACTGAGCTGACTAACTGGATCATTTCTTTTTACTTTTTTAATTGTTGTATATTATCAAACACCGTAATTTAAAAAAAATATTCATTCAAATGCTGTTTTTCAAAACCCTGCGAACTTGGAATATGTGATCAATAATTACTGGAAACATGTGCAGCCTCGGACAGCCGGCTGCAGTCTGTTTTATCCATTTGTTCCCACAACTTTCCACATAACTGATCACACAACAGGAGGATTGTTTAAGCTGCGAGGATGATCTGATTTATTTATCCTGTGTTAATTCTCCCTAAAGGTTAAACACAAACCAGATATGTCCGCAGAGCACCACAAACTACTTCATTTTGTTAAACTGTCCTTTAATTCACCCCACTCTGCACCTCCTCACATTTCTTTCCCACGTTTCTTCTGCAGCCACCTTCACTGTGAGGCTGCATTGGTCCACTGTGCACTTTCACTTCCTTTGCATCATCCATTCAACCTTAAAGGAAAGATTTATAATAATAAAACTGTGGATGTAAAAAGTAATTTGGAGAACATGGAGTAGGCTTACAGTAAATTATTCTTGTTGTTTTCCACAGTGGCTATTAGGAAAGTCATTACAGCAAGCAGAAACGACTAATGTGTGACTGGAGAGAGATGGAAAAATGAAATTAAATCACCATGCTAATTCAAAACTGGGCTTTGAAATTCATTTTGGTTTGAAATAAATTGACATATTTTCTCAAAGGCAGCTCATTCTTTTGAGGCTGCACTGCTTTCACCATCTGTGTTGAGTAATAGAGTCCTTCTTTAATTAGATTCAGCATTTTTAGACATTAAAAATAATGTGAGTTCAGAATTTTTTTTAGCCAATGGACATGTTTGTACTCATGTTCCTTTCCTGGAATTTTTTATTCATGTCAGCTGCTGCAAAGGAAATATTTTGTATCAGTCACATCTATTTGTTTTGTGAATGGTAGAAAATACTAAATATAGCAGAGAAGTTTCCTTGTGCAAATATGAATCATACAGTCTACGCAAAAAAAAAAAAGATCTGGGCTGCCAAATGATACTATTCATTTACGCTCCCTGCTGGGTTCTTATATAAAAGAGGCATAAGTTTAGGTTCAGGGTCTAAAAATAATGGCTGGACATTTCCTATCAGTATTTTCCAGGAGAAGACAAAACCCATAGCTCACTGTTTACAGCAAAGATTCAAATTTTGGAAACTGAATTTATTTTGCTTTTACTCAGGTTGTATTTGTCTGAAATTATAATCTGAGGTTTGCAAATAAATCTGGTCAATTAAGTTCTCATATCTCTCTATTGGGAAATCATGCATATTGTAAGGAAACAATAAGCTACATGTCAATACTTGTAGTGGCATCATTATGAGAGGGTGGCTGAGAAAGCAGTAGGAAAACAATCTCCCAGGCAAATAGAGTATGGAAACATCAATTGCCCTTTCAGTGTATTCACTTATTTTGTGGAATGTTTTTACAAGTTATTTGCAGATATTTTCAAGATCATATCTAAAACATTCCAAAGAAAATGCAGCTTCACTGAAATTCCTAAGCACAGTGTTACTTGACAAGCTACTGGCTGGCATTACAAACAAGGTGTGACCTGTTTTTCTTTGCATTGATTGATTGTACCCCAAGGAGTAGAGGAAACTGTATTAGCTCTTTTGGTAGAGCTAAGCTGCTTTCCACAGTACATATCATTCTATATTAATGTATATTTGGTGTTTGAACTATTATAACAGAATGTTGGAGGCATTTTTAGATTGGTTTTCAAGTATTTGCTGATTTCAGATATTCTACAGCTGTGGTCCCTAACTTCTGCAAATTGCACACTAAAGTGAGGTTTTCAAAACATGCCATATTTTGAAAATACAATCACGTTTCGATGTGTCAGTCAATCACAGTATTGGAGGTTTTAAAGACAGTAGGCAGTCTTATTTCAGTGTCCTAGCTGCTAAGTAAAATAACTAAAAACAGCAAGGTATTGATATCTTTTAGAAGCATCCATGCACATAAATGAATTATCTATCCAGATTATCACTAGTGGGGTCAGACTGTGGTGCCTCCAGCTGGGGATTTCCTCTCTGATACAGAGGAGACTGGAAGGCTTTCATATGTTCAGTAAAACCTAGAAAAAGTCATCTGCAGAGGGAAATTTAAAACCTGCATATTGTTTTTTTGGCCTTCTTGATAACAGCGTTGCTCAATGTTGTGGTCTGTGCTCTGTAAATGAGCCATATTAATTCCCCCCTGAGCACAGGTCAATAACATGTAAATCTCCTAAATATTTATTGCAGTTCTTCCTGATGGTTAGTTTTTCATTTTTCCTCCAGCTGACTCATCTGTTCGCATGTCCACAGATCCAACGTCTGTCACCCTGAAGGAGAAGAATTATTGATGGCACTTTGGCTCATGGCTCCATCCAGTCAGATGACTATCTGCTGATGCTGACAGAGTTACTGTGACATAACAGAGAGGAAAAGTGACAGCAAAAACTTACACCACCCTGGAAGCTTCAACAATTTCAGCAAAATCTTTATCCTTATTGATCCAAACATTGACATTGACAGTAACAAAGACTAGAGTTTTATGCTCCACTCATAAAATACAAAAGTATTTTATGAACTTCCATAAAATACCTCATCTTGGAACTTTCATCTTCCAAGAAGATCCCATTATCTTATCCCTTACCCCATTGGGGTTGGGAGGGGCGCTGGTACCTAGAGGCAGGGTACAGCCTGGACAGGTTGCCAGTCCGTCATAGTAGCGGCATCACCCCACACGCGTGTTTTTACAGGTACGAAGAAGTTAGACTGGACCACATTTCAGCTGAAACTTGGTGGCATGCTACTTGTCAAATCAGGGCTCTGACAGTAAAGAAACATTTTCAGAGGAAAAAGTCATATAGTTAAAACCTTCTGCTGAAGAGCAATGAAGCGCTGCTAACCAAGTAGTTCTGGTCTGGTTTCTAGGACAGAAGCAACATACAAGTAACTTTTCAGCAAGGTGTAGGAGCTTGTTTTAAGTCAATAATTCCTTAATATTCACATATTGTTTCACTTAGAACATGTAAAAACATGTCTTGGTAATGATCCACAGGAACTGAGGTTATTTTTTTTTTAATTCTGATGAATGACTTTAAACCATGGATGGACAATTTACAGAAAAGATGACAACATACATCAAAATTTAAATTGTCAAGGAGTTTGAACTGTACATTATTTTAATAATTACAATAAAACAACCAAATAGAAACTTCTTTGGACATATTTTTTTTTATATTTTTCTACAGTATGTTTGTAAAGTGGGGCTTTGTTTTCACCCTCGTATGGAGGAAAACCTGGGATGTAATAATGGACTCTATCTGAACTGACTCCTGGATAAGGTTCATATAGTGAAAACAAACTTTTTGATGAAACTGAGAGTATTTTTCCACGTGACTGTTACTCTGAATGGACCAGAGAAAAGCAGACATGTTTACATACGGTGTTTAAAAAAGTAAAAGAAATTCCAGCACAAATGCTATTAAAAAAAGAAAAAAAAAATTTAACCACAATCTTGTTTGGATTAACTGGCTATTTTAAAATACTGTAAGAGCACTGAACTTGTATATAGAGCAGCCAGAGTGACTTATTAAAAGCTGCATATTCAACACACACACACATTTCTGCATCGACCTCAGATTACCTATCGTTACAAAGACCGGTGGTTTGGCTTGGCAGGTAGCAGAAATATCTGACATGCAGCAAAAGAATCTGACTGATTCATGACAGTCAGATGAGAACTGTCCAATCTGTCACATAGCTAAAGTCATGCGACACAAAAACAATCCCTGATTGTTCCGGTGTGATGCTGCCTGAATGTTCCACTCACATGTGATAAACCATCAGGCTTTAGTACCTTTGTTCCTGCACTGGATCAACGTCCACACAATGGCACCATAATAATAACACTACGACAAGTCGTCTCCTGGCATCAGTCACAGCACCAGCTTCCAAGTTTCTTCCTTTCCTGGTGCTGCATCCATCAGGTTGTCCCAAACAAAGTACCCATGCTTGGAGAGGCAGTTAAAGTGAGTGATTTCTTTCCGAAAGCACCGGTAATGATCTTCAATGGTGGATATTACAGAGAAGGCGCTTTCCAGACAGATGGATGGTGTCCTCTGGTTTCTGTATACAGGTAGGTACAAACAGATTATGTTCAACGAGAACAAGTAAGCATGTATGAAACTTTAATTTGTACTTGTCTTAACAGTATATCAACACATTAAAGATAATATAAATATGCATAAAGTAGCAGTCACAAGATTGGAAAAACACTTTCGACTTCATCATCCAATCTCCTGTCATTTTAGCTTTTGCCCATAATTGTGTATTAGACTAAACATAAAATCCAAAGCTATTAAATGGAGAGGAAAATATAGTTTCAATGTTGCTGTATTTCAGTTGCTTCTATGCTTCTCCACCACTTTAAAAGGTGCCTGGCAATTACTTTAATGACTTCGCCCATTTTGGACTTAAACGCTGGGGGAAACATCGGCACAATCTCTGACTTAATCAGATTTTAAAAGTATGTAGAAATTATGCCTTTTGATGTCATTTAAAAACAGCTTTAAAGGGCAGCCTGGGTGAACAGGGCATTTACACTTTGTCCCTCAAATCCTACTTAACAGCAACATCCATGATACACATGAACATGAATAATAATTGATCAGTTACTACTGATTTAAATATATGAACTTAAGTCTATGTTTAAAAAATGGAGGCATGATTCTTTTTGTTCACATCTGGAGGAAGTTTGTTTCCCTGTGTGCAGCTCTGCTCACATTAATGAACTGTTTGCTTAATCCTGGAAGACACCAATATGTGTTTTTTTTTGCATATTTGCAGAGTAGATCCTTCTTTGTGTTATTTTTGCCACATGTTTTGTCTTCGTATTTTGTCAAAAATACAAGACAAAAAAAAAAAAAAAAAAACGGTATCCAATAGTAGGCCATCCCACTTCTGTCACCAAATGTAAAAGACCAAGACATAAATGAACAATTTCCAGCCATTATTATGAAAATGTTCCACTGTAAGATAGAGCTCCTCACTTCAGGACCTCGCTGGGCTTCACTACATTCTGCTGATCATACTCTCCTGTTTCTCATGTCATTCAGTCACCTCCCCTGCAGTGAAAAGGTGGTCAAGGTTAGTACTTTGTCACATCCTGTCACACCCTTCATGCAGGTTCGCCTGTCCTCCTTCTGGCATTTGTTAGTTCCCGTCAGACGCACCTCAGTTCCTCTTGTGCCAGTTCCTCACACTCTCTCAAACAAGCCTTCATCCCAACATTCAGCATCTGCTTTTGGATTCAGTTCCTCCTCAAGAAATGACAGTAATTTGTGTTTACTTGGCAGCAAATGTCAGCACTTGGCTGAGCTGATAAAAGGTTGAGAGCAGTGGGACTACAAATTGGCTTTTGCAACCAGATACTGTTTGTTAAATAATCACACTGTCCCCTCATCCCGTATACACCCAATTCTTCGTACTCCTATGTCACACCCTTATGTTGCTAGTTTCTCCAAACCCACTTCTATTTTGTTTCCATGAACAAATTATTTTATACCCATCATGTACCCATTGCATTTCAGTTTATTTTCTTTAATAGTAAGGACTTCAGTGATTTATGGAGATAAATGTTCATAAAGATGTTCAGATCTCACAAAAATTTTTAAATAATATTAATTTATTATTTAAATATTTTTGTTAAACCAACCACTCATGGAAACAACACAAACATTTCTAAACAAGACATTGAACGCAACTATTCTGTCTTTGGCAGAGCCATTTCTCCCACATTTGTTTTTGTTGTATTTATCCAGAATGCTCTGCTCTGCACTACAGTCCTCTTCCTGCTTTTGGAGCGGTCTCAGGCCCGCTTGGGGTTCACATTTGCATTTGAACCACACCAGAGTTCACGTCAGCTGAACCGAGACCATGTTTGCAGGCAAACCAGATTTCACTATTTTGGTTCGTAGCAAAATGCAATGACCGTACACATTCACACCTTCCCAAACAAACCAGACTTTTTAGGTTAATGAACTAGAATTCAAATAAAGTGGACTAAACAGGGCTGATGTAAATGTATCCTAAATCCTCATCTCCACAACATTTCACCTGCTTTTCTAATTTGGTGGCTGGGTTGTCATTTAAATTGACATTTAAGTTTCAGATGTGTCAGATGACAGGAAACGTGCTTCGGGAAACAGACAAGATCTTGACTCTGTGTTAAATCAGTAATCTTTCTGTCTGACCAATGGATATTTGTGTGTGTGAGTGCATGGCCTCTTCATTTAATGAACTTAGATGTTCTTCTTCTTCCAGTTCTTAATTCATGTCAGTTTAATTGGCAAAGTGCATCCCCTCCAAACCTTTTTAATGAGTATGAGTTTCTGTGTGTGTTCCCATGCCGGTAGTATCTTTGCGTTCATGCTGGCGGTCAAGAAGGGCGCCTGGGAGAACCGGACTGGTGTTTGATTGGCGCATGCCGCTGAGATCTGCTCCTTCCTGTTAGAGTACGCATCACTTCCTCTCACCCTGCCCAAAGCTACTGCCTTGCCATCTCACAATCACTCTGACACCATTCCATCCCTTCTCCTTATTTCTTCTTCTCCCCTCTTTTCTCGTGACTTAGTGTCCCTCTTACCCACAGTCTCAATGTTCAACTTTTCTTCAGATTCCTCCTGATTCCGCTCACATTTTACTGTATTTTCTCCTTTTTTAAAACTCCTTTTTGGTTTTATTTGGTTCATTCAAATGGTTATTTCACCCACATCTTTCTCAATTTGTCCATCTCTAAGGTCCGTTCCAGGTTTCCTAAGGCCACTTTTGTTTTAACAACATGACAGCCAGTTCTTCATCCGCATTGAAGCATCACTTTGCCTTTTACTCCATTTCTTTCCCCTTATCTACCATCCAATTTCTCCCTCTCCTCTTCTGACCTCTTTCTCTCCCTCCATTTCTGCTCTGCATTCAAACTTCCTACTCCTCATCTTCCTCGCTCCTTCCTCTCCCCCTCCTCCTCAGCTGCTCTCCCTGAAGACAGAGCAGAGTCAGCCAGGCAGAACAGCCAGCATGTTCCCCTATTCTCTTACTCCATCTCTGCTGCAGAGCGCTCTGTTTCTCACACATACATCCTTTCCTCAGCCTCAGCACACATTATGTTAACATGCACTTTCAATGTTTTTGCTACTTTTTAATTTATCTCCTTACTGTCCATTCATCGTTTGCTGCTTCATCTGTCATCTCTTCTCTCCCTCCTTTCTTTTCCCTTTAAGGCATTTCTGTTTTCCCACTTTGCTAAAGGATCCTTCAGGGATTGTTCAGAATTTTAAAGAGAGGTTCTGTTAAAGGTTTTTAAGAAGTAAATATCTTTCTTTGAGCGGTTAACTCTTTCGCCGTTTTCCTCTCGATCATCTTTAAGGTGGCTGAACTAAGACTGAAAATCAATTAAACTCATGCAACATGTGGTGAACCCTCTACAAAATAAAATGTCAGAAATCATTTTTCTCTAACAAAATTGTTTTGTTTTGATAAAATTAACTAAATACTGGCATGTGGTTCAGAGGTTTCATAGAAGGTGTTATTTTATAGAACAAAGTAATAGTGAATATATTAAATTTGACTTAAAAGAAATCTAACTTCATAATTTGATGACTTGTAATTGGCCTTTGTCTCTTTAAGAAGCTCCTGCTTTTTCTGACACTTAGCCTTAAAGATGTCACCACAACAATGCTTCTTCATGTCATTTACTTCTGTTCTTAGGAGCACTGGACTGAGAAGTAGTTTGTATGATGAGCTCAGCAAACGTGCCGTTCCACCAGGTGTTTACTAATTGCTGCTGGCTAGTCTGGAGGAACTGGATTGGGAAGGCATGGGGTGGGGCTGCTTTGTAAGGCAGAAGCTCCTCTTTGGTGAGAGAATAACATTATAACATGATAAGTAGAGCTAGAAATGTTGATTTAATATAATGCCTCCTTTCCTGTCATGAGTATGACTGTAACTACTTTACTGGTCATATTAATCAGGAGTCACCAGCAGAACAGAGCACTTAGAACATAAAGTAATCAAATGAAAACCATCAAATTGGAATATGAATAGA